GCAGCCTTGGCTCGTAATACGCCCGTGGGCGAGAGCACGTCCCCCTTGTAAGGGGGGAGCGTGGTGGGGATGGTGCGGAGGAGCGTCGGAGGTCCCCCGGTGCCGGTGGAGAGCGGAGAAAGGGCTGGTTGGGATTCTCCGCTGGGTGTCCATCGGCAGCTGGGGGCTCTGCCCTCTTGGGCCTCCTGCCAGGCAGGGAAAGGGGATTCAGATGATGCAGGCCGTGAGCTAAGGTACACAGCTGAGTAACTTGGCTGTTGTGCGTCGGTCTGTGAGGACTGAAGTCAAGTTTCCTACATCCAGTCACCTGCCATTACTGTAAAGGGCTGGACAGAAAACTGCCGTTCGCCATTGTCTATATTTGCTTTTAATGTACTTTTGTAGTGGGAGGAGATGTTGAGTAGCTGCTTAAGCAGAGAAAATAAAACTTGTCTGTTGGAATTGCAATATTGCAAAGATCTGTGTTTACAGTGGGAACTAGAAATGAGAATTTTCTCCTTATTGTATATTTCTGTATATCTGAATCCCAGTACTTCAGTGGTGTGTTTTGTTTGAATTTGGCCTCTGCTAGTGAAGAGAGCTATTTTTATGCCTGTACCAAATTGTGCTCCATAATTTTGAGCAATACTGAATTGTCTCTGTCCTTCCTGTTTGCTGACATGCGGGTGGTATTCTTCTATAGAGTCCTCTTGCCATGTGTTTATTCCATACTTTCTTGAGAACTAAATGAGCTGTATTTTTCTTGAATCACATAATGTGGTAGTACTTGACCATAGTAACTTTGCCATAAGCACTTCCTAAAATGCAGCTTAGAGATACAATTCAAGTTAAAAGTAAAAATCTTTCTTCCATACCTTTACTGTGGCTCTGATTCCTCTGAAATGGGAAAGCTGAAACTGGCCCGTTCTGTCCCTACAACTGTCTGGGTTTGAAAGACAGCTGGGAAAGAAATAGAGTTGGGAAGCAAAGCTGAAAGGAAATTTTTAACCTGAAGAAGTAGGAAAGCAGAACGACAGAACTGTAGGAAATGGAAGGGGTAGAAATGCCAGGGTAGCATTGTCGTACAGTGATAATGACCTCCATTTGTCTTGACCTCCAGCTGAACTTGAGAAGACTGGGGATGGCATGTTTTTTACCTGTAGGAGTTGGTTTCTTGTGTTGTTCTGTAGTACCCTCTTCCCTCTGGAGTGAGATGTGATACATAAAGGATCTAATTTTTTTCTGCACCATTCTCAATACAAAAAACCCCAACCAAAACAGTAGTAAGATATGTTAACGGGAAACTAGTAAACATTTTTCTTGTTTCTTAATTTGGGATTAAATTACTTTTATGTGGGACTGGGTTGCAAATAGTTGCAAATACTTTTGGCTTCTCCCAAAAGATAAATTCTTTTGAAAAAGTACAGTTTCCTCTAAATGAGCTGTTGTTATTTAGCCAGGTGACTGAGGATCTTGCAAATATTTGAGCTAATTAAAAAACTGAGTTATTGTGTCCTTTGCAACAGTCTCAAAACAATACCTTGGCATATGCATAGGTGCTCACATTTTAAAATGCAAATGTTTTACAGCATTCTGAGGTACATTGTGCACGTTTCAGGCGAAGAAATAGATGCAGAGAGATAATACGATTTGCTTTAGGCCAGATTAGACTATAGTCAGAGTCCATCTCAGAGACTTTTGTGTTAGTTATTACTGGATATTTCTGGTTTAAAAGGTTATGAATTTCTGAAATTATGTAATACAGAGGAATATTTTTGTCTGAGAGGAGGGATTGAAGCAGAAAAGCACTGCAAGGCTGTAACACTGTCTTTGGTTGGTTGTTGGTTTGTTTGGTTTTTCGTGGTGTGGTTTTTTTTTTTTATTTCAGAAGGCTGAGACGAAAGAGGAATTTGTTAAAGTTAGAAGGAGGGATTTGGAAAGGCTGACAACTGAGGTTATGCAATTGCGGGATTTCTTACCCAAAATAGTAAATGGGGATATCCTGGGGACATTCCAGAAACTGGATGCTGTTGAATCAAGTGAGTAGTACCATGTTACAAGCTCCTATAGTTTCTGCCAAAGCTGCTTAGAACAAACTGTCATGCCTCTACAAATAGTTGTAGAGTTTGTGGAGGTATTCCAGATTAAACTATAATATTCAATGGCTGCTTCAGTAAATTAATGTGTTTATAATGAAGAAAATTACAAACTGCATTAGAATAATTAGATTTGTCAAATTAATCTTTAAAAATATTTTACTGTGGATAAAAACATACTTAGTTCAGGCAGTAAGGGGAGAGCTGTATCAGGAAAAAAGTAATTCTTCTCTGAGAAAAGGCAAAAGCATCCTATTTTTCAAAATGTCATTTTAGATGCACAGCAAAAAAGCTTGGTAAATAGCTGTGGATAAAAAGTTACATTAAAGGAAAGGATAATATGGTTGTGTTTAGCCTGTCTTGTTTTTTAGCTTGTATGCTAAATAATTAAAAAAAAAAAAAGTTGAAGACTCTCTGTTATAAAGGTCTTTCTACTGCTGTCCTCAAAGTACGGTTTTTCAGTGTTATAATTCCCTGTGCGTTATTTTTTCAGCAATTGCATTACTCCCCTCATGCCATCAGGACCAAATCTGAGTCAGCTCCATCCCTAGCCTGTAGCTTACATGCAGCTGTATGATTCACATGTTCTCTTAGGAATTGCTTTTTGTCTAAAAAGACATGGGAGAAGCACTGAGACAGATTATAGAGAGTGTATCTCTTCTAGAATATCAAGTGATTGATTGAAAATTAATTTGCAACAGCTAAGAAAGCTTAAGATAGACCCTCAAGGCCTGTCTCCGATACTAAGTAATATATTGGGGCAGAGCTTCCAGCTGCCTCAATGATCCAGTCTTTGGAAGGATTCTTCCATGCCATCAAATCTGAACAGGGATGAGAAGACTGTACCCCCTCTCCTGCTGCCAGTTGAGACATCATCTGTGTCACAAGAAGTGATGTAAGGTCTGAAGATGTTCTCTTTATGCTGTTGCAAGGCATCAAGGACTGTTTCCAGTTGCATTAAGTGTTCAAGATCCTCAACTAGTCAGACCCTTGTTTTACCTACTTCTATCAGTGCTCAGTGTCAAGATTTCTCTCAGTGATCCTTCTTATGCTCCTAGTACCAGGCATCAAGGAGACGCTGTTAGGGCCTGCCAGCAGCAGGTTTGTGGTATCAACAGGGGGACTTTAAGACTTTCTGTCAAATGATCTGCTGGCTGGCCAGCATTCTCTGGGCCCTTTGGAGGAATACCTGAAGCTGAGTCAGCCTTTGAACTCTTGAGTAGATCCCCGCAGTGGAATGGGGTTTCTCTTCGTATATTGCAATTATGGGATATACCAAATATATCATATATGGGATTTCTCTTGCAGTTAATGAGGTCATTTGAATATTTATTTGGGCTCTTGCTATTGTTTGCCCCTACATCTGGACAAGTCAAGAGGTGGTTTTTGCTGCTCTAGTCTGCTCCTACCTCTGCAGCATGCAATAAGGCAGACTGGAAGGAGGATTTGGAGCATACAGTTCACAAAAGGTTGGACATCACATGGACACATTCAGTCTCAGAATAGTGAGCTCTTGGGTGTTGTTTACTAAATACAGTCTCTTGGTGTTGGCATATGAAGCTTACAGGAGTCCTGGCAGGTACTAGTGTTGGTTTTTTTCATGTCGTTCTTACAGAAGCCTAATGGGTGATTTGTACATCTCTCTAGACTTCCATCAGCTATTGTGGTTTTCTAAGCATTGTAAACATTAAGTGGTTAGCAGTTTCTTATGCTCCTCAAGAAGTACAGATTATAGTCAGGAACTTCTAGCACCTCTGGCCCATTCAGTTGTGAGGCTGATGGAGTCCTGAATAGCTTTGAGAAACCTTGAAATCTTTGCACATTTCGTTTGTGTATCTGGGTCAATAGGATACCAATTTGCTATGGGAGCATCCCTTAGGTGGTATGTGAGATCTGAGCTGGCAGTGGTCAATGCAACCAATGCCTACTTTTCTGGCTGCTGTCAGGGTCTTCGCTTAGGCTTTTGCCAGGGTAATTGTTCATTTCAAAAAGAAAGATCCATTTTATTCTTACTAGCCTCCTCAGGAAGAGTCTTTGGCTTCAGGAATCTTACAGAAAATGTTGGAGCTATTTTGCTGTTATTATGTGTAAGTTTAGTGGAACTTGGTCCCCTGGGGAAATGTTAAAAATTGCATTTGGATCAGTGGAATTGGAATTCCATCACTTGTTGGCGTTCATTGTAATTGTACTCAGTTCTCCACCTTCCAGAGCTTTGAGATTAGATCTCTGGTCCAGAAAATCTCCTGATGTGACCTATAGTGTGGATGAGAATGAGTCCACCTCATGCCTTCTCTTTTTTTGTTGTGACCACTGCCTTGTTCGGTTTCTGAGTCTGCTGTTTATCTCGGGAGCAAATGCCACTTCTCCCCAGAGTCTGATTTACTGCTGCAGTGGTAAAGTTATGTATTTCCTGTTTGTGTAAGGATGCCATTTCATATTTTTTTGCTCATCCAAGTTGATAGTGAAAGCTTCTTCTTCACTTGGTGGAGGTAGACAGTCTGAGCCTCAAGACTGTAGTGTCAAGAGAGAAGGAACTTTCCTTACCAGGGCCTGGGACTTGCAGCCAGTGGGAGAACCTGTTGAGCTTCCCTGTGTGATGCTAAGGACCACAGTGTGCAGGAGCAAGCAGCACAGCTGCAGTCTTCAGTGTCAGCAAAATGTCTGCTGCTTATTCTGCTGCTCTGTGTCAAGTGGCCATCAAATGTTGGGACTGGTGCATGCAGCCTTGAATTCTCTTCAGAGCAGACGTAAGAGGGGGAATTCCCACAAATGCGGCACAGCTAGAAGTAGGTGTCTCTCTCAGCAGCTTCCAATATTACCCTTCTTTTTTTTTTTTCCTTCAGCATAGAACATTGTGATACCTTAAAGGAGGTTTGACACATCCTTCTTTTATCTGGAGGACTTAAATAAACAAACAGGTAGCACTGTATTAGCACTGAGTAGTTAATATTATTCCCCTTCTACTGGCTCAGTCTTGGTTCCAGGACCTTTGAAGTCTGCCAGTAATGGATGTGGCATACTTGTGTGTCTGCGGGCTGCACTGATGCAGGATTCAGGGTGGATCTGTCCTCTCAAAGGCTCCAAGGGATTCTTCTCATTCTGGAGAGCTTGTTTGCTTGCAGTGAGAGAGATTTTCACTGGATATACTTACTTGGGGAGGATAAATGGGTTCTTGGTCTGCTGTTGATAAGCAGAGCATGCCCCACTCATGCTCTAGGCTTCTTTCTGTCAAGTACTTAAGACGCACACCTTCATAGTAATAGTTGCATGGGACTGAGTTTTCTTTGCTTGACAGAAGGAAGTTTCCTGCCACTGACCAGAGTTATTCCTCAAAAATTCAATGAGTCCATTCCCCCTGTCATTCTTTTTCTTTGGATTGCAGGTTGAAAAGAACTGAATGCTGGAGAGCGTGCCCTGGCACATATGTCCTAGGACCCTTGCCTTGCCTTGGCTCTTTGGTTTCTGTTAAAGTCTTAGTGTTGATGGCTTAGAATCACACAAGGGCTGAGTGGAAATATGTTCCACCTCTTCAGAAAAGCTGTTCATGACTAGATTATCTTTTATACCTGCTACTCAAAGCAATGTCTATATATTTGAGGCAATAACATTTAGTAAATTAGGACCAAAAAAGAAAGGAATTTATTTCCAAATAATTGTAGAATTACTACTAAATAAAATGCCAGAATCCAAGATGTCTGTATAATAAGGACTTTTTTTAAATGATGTTATCTTTTTTTGATTGAATTTGATATGCTCTTTGATAAATACATTCAAAATATTGACCGCATGTAAGGGGAAGTACTTGAAGTGTGTTAACCATAGACCATACTCTCATGATCCATGGTATAGCATCCAAGTGGGGTATAACTTGGTTTTTTTAAGCTAACCGAAATTACAGTAATGCTGTTTGGACATTACTTTTTGGAATTACTGAAAAAAGGACATACATTTAAGTATAAACACTAAGCATCCAGAACTGTCGTTTTTAAAGTAAAATACAATGCACAACAGTTGTTAAAAGTATCCTTCAAAGTGAATTTTTTAAAACTGGTATCGTGATCCTGAAATATTAACTTGATTTCTGTTCACTAAAATAAAGCATCTAAATTGCAATGTACTTGTGATAACATCAGAGATTAATTTAAGGGAATCACAAAATTTGCTTGTCAAGCATAATGTTTAAATAGTTTATAATGTCTTATAATACTTTATAAACATTAGTTCAAAATGTTTGGAGTAGTTGTGTTTCGTTCTTTTCATATAATTTGTACATTGTATATTGAAACAATCACTTTTGACTGATCTTGGTATTCTTTTCATTAGGTTTTCATTATACTCACTGAATTTCAAAGATATTGGACATGAAACAATCATGAAAACAAACAAAGTAGAAAATTGAGTAATTTTTTTTAAATTCCTGAGGAGCTGGAAGCTCAGTTCCAGAATGGTGTCTTATCAGCACACAGTATTTAACAGCTAGATGTGATTCTTTCAGTCTTTCCCTGTTTTAAATGGGAAATATCACGTTCATTTAGTTTCTTTATAAGAACTGTTGAAATGTGGCAAATTGCGATATACCAGTTTAGCCACGAGGAGGTGATCTAACACAAGCACATAATTAAAGCACCTCCTTACATTTGCACTTAGTGGATACTTTTTTCTTCATTGCAACCTCGGTGATCGTAACTCATTACTTTGTTTACCTGATTTACTCTTGCAGACATGGAGAAAAAAGAGGAGGAAATCGAGCAGCTGAAAATGGATTGTGAACACTTCAGAGCCCGTCTGGAAACAGCCCAGGCAGATTGCATGAGAGAGAAGAAGGTAGATTAGCTGTCAGAATATTGGTATCTGTATGTTTGAGTTTTAATACCAGTAACGATCAGTTTTTCATGTTCATGTCACAAGCTACATCCTCAGCCTGAAAAACAATCTGGGATTTCTATTCATATAGTCAGGTGATGAGTAGATTACTTACCTCTAAGTTCTTAACTGATGTTTTTTCCCCTTGATGTTTCTAGAGCAAAAGGGTCAATATTATAACTAGACAAAATATAGCATGATGCAGTACCAAGAAGCATTCAATGTGTACAAATAGAGATCCCAACTGAGTATGTCTCCTGCTTAGTACATAACTCTTGCATAACTACATAGATCTCTTTTAACTTCCATACTGTGTGAGGTTCAGTTGTATGGGGTTGCATTATGGGCTTCTTGGCAGGGTTTGTTTTGGTGTATGTAAAGTTAAAAAAATCAACCGTTAGCATTTTGTTTGTATTAACATGTTGAAGTAAAACATTGGGTATTCGGGAAGATTGTGGTGTAGCTGGCATCAAAAGGTCCTTCACAGAATCGGTTCTTTTGAATTTAATGTAACTATAACATATTTTCAAAGAGGACAATAAAAGATAATATAAGCAACGCAATGTAGAAAATGAAACTGCCCTCTCTTTTAGCTTGCTCTAAGTTGTGTACCTTTGTTTAGTTTTAATAGGCTTTCTCAATGCACCTATTGATCCGATTGCTATGTACAGCTGTGAGTCAAAGAACAGTTGCAGGGCTCCTTTTGCTCTATCAATATTGTATTTAGTCATTATGAGAGCGGAGGTTCTTAATAATGAAGGAATAGTGAAGACTGTGACTTTTCCAACTGTGGGTCGTCTTTGAAGCCATTGGGGTGGCTTAATTTCCGATAGGTATGAGAATCAATTGTGGTTATTTTCTGCAAAAGTTCATTTCCTTGAAACTGATAGCTATCTTCAGTAGTTGGCAGAAGCTCACTTTGTTGGGGTTCTTGAGTTAGCATCTGCCAGCCTTGGGATTGCACAAAGACAGATGAATCTACATAAATTATTTCACTTTTGAAAAGAATAAATGGAGGTTTCAGACGTGCAGTTTTAGGGCACATCTGCATGGACAAGTCATTTTGGGGTGAAGTTTGGTATGAATGTGAAGTATGATGGAATAGTTGTTTGGATGTTCCTTACTTCGAAATAAGTTATCTTCTGGGATAGCTACCACAGTTCAGCAATAGGTACATGGTTAGTTTTGCGAAGCACCCAGGTCTTTAGTTGTATAAGCATCCAGGATAGAATCTCTGTAAGATTTAATGTTGCTGCTGTAGATATTAATGAAATGGGTCCCACCCTTTTTTCTTGTTAATATTACAAAATAAATGGCAGGCAGTTTAGGTTTGTGATTTCTTTTGGATGAAAGTTTTACTTAAAGCATGAATAGTTTACTAAGAGTAGTTGTTGTCTTGGTGTTCCTGATCAAAGATCTTCTCTTCATAATGTTGCTGTTGTGCAGTATATACACTGGTTGTCTAAATGGCTTCTGTTATATGCCACAAAGGTGTATTTGTCCAAGTGGATTATGCTTAGGTACAGTGTGAAATCCTTTAGCTCTTTGGGATAAAAGATGATGGTGTATGTATATGTGTGTTTTTTGCTCCTGTTAATCACTTTGCATGGTGTTTTTCATTTGGTTGCTGTTCTGCTATAGGCATCCTTGCGTATAGTTCCTGAATTATTTTCCACATATTTGTCTTTTGAAGGAAAATGAAATGATTCACTGAAACAATCATAAAATAAATGCATTTTCTAGTTGAGCAGTGTCCTTTTCTTAGGGGATCATAAATCAACATTTTGCATTCCAAAATTTCTGTGCGGTGCTGTATCACCAATTAGGGAATTGCTGAGCTTTCTGAACCTGACCAAAACTTGAAGTGCACATGCTATTCTTGGCTAATGTCGTCTTTGTCTGTCTTTTCATAGTTGCGTACTTAAGCACTGCTGTATTTGTGTGCCTTGACCCTTTCCTGAAGATGGTGGTGTTGCATAGCACAGTGATAGCTTCGTGATGTGAACTCTCAGGAGTGTTGCTTCCAGCTAGGTTATTTGCTTTTGCAGGCTCCGTTTATTTTCCTGGCTCTTGAATGTACTGTTTTGTTTTCCTTGTTTCGTGTCTTTGTTCTGATGTTGCTTTTGATCTATTAAAAATTCTGGCATTTCTTGTGCTGGCTTTGCGTCCTTGTTGGAGGATCTAGCTTTGGTATTACAGGATTTGATGTCTTACTATTCAGCATTAGCATCCAAATGCAAATAAAATGTATTAAAAGATACGTTTTCCTACGACAAGGACAGTGCAGAAAAGAAAGACAGGGACAATATAGGGGTTAGGCAGGAAGATGCCTGTGGACATTTTGTTGTTGCACATGGTGGCAGAAAAGCTGATAGGTCTGGCAGTGAGTTATGTAAAAGATAAAATTTGGCTAACTTGCTTAAAAATTATCAAAGTATTAAGAAATAAGAGACTTTTCCTGGGACTAAGATGCCTAAGGCATCAGCAGCAAATGTCAGTCTTCTGTATTTATTAAACTATAAGGTGAAAGAGACTCCAGAGAGTAAATATGCACAGAAATCTGCTTGATAAATTTAATTTGAACTTTACAAATCCTACCTGTGTGTTCCTTTAGCAGCATGATAAAGCAATGCAAATCAGGCTGTCAGGTGTGATACAGGAGGCTGGGTAGGTAATTGATGACAGAGTACAAGAAGCATTATGCTGGTTGATATCATGTTATGTATATTTTCAGATGAGTTTATATTTCTATTCTTTCCAAACCCTTAACACAAAACATTGAGGTGAACCCCAAAAATGATGAGATATTTATTTTAAAATGTTGATGTTGCAAGTTTTGGTCTGTTTACTTGCTTTCAAAACTGACATAGAAAAGATTCCTTCTCATTTCCCCATATTTCGTCTTGATAGCTAAACACACAGTGGAGGCTGGGCTGAGGAGGGTGCTTTCTGTAGTGAATCTGAAAATCCTATACCCACAAAATGGGCAGAGCAGGATCTTTCTGTTCTTTTGACATCATATGATCTGTGATTCTCTCTCTCCCCCCTCTCCTCCCACACCCTCTCAATAGTTGAGTTAGCATTATTTTTCTTGACTGGGCTTTATCTTTCCCTGCAGCACTGCCTAATACTACCCCACTCAGAGTTAGCAGGGAACCCCCATCCATGCTGGGAGACCACAGACTGCAGCATCCCTGCCTTGATCTCACTGTCTGCATTAGCTCTAAGATGAGAAGTGCAGCAGCTTTGCTACTTCTGTGGAAGTTGGTAGGAAGTCAGTAAGACCTAGAATCGTGCCTACTCTCATGATATTCTTCTGGCCAACTTCCCGTATGATTGGAAAAAAGTACTGCCAGATTGAAATCGTGTCCTGGTCGTGTTGGATTGCTCTGTTCTCTCTCTATGCTTTGTGGCAAAGACCACTGAGCAGCTCGCTTAGGTGGTGCCTGGGCTTTCTTGGTATGAAAGACCCTCCAAACTTCAAACTGTAGTTGTGTTTTTCCATGGACTCTGTCTTACTTTGTCACTGCTGATCAGGAATATGTCAACAGAAAAAAAGTTGGAAGAGACAGCAATCTTTGGTATCCAGCAACTCTACCACATTGGCTAAGGCAGAAGTCTGTTTTGAAAAGCAAAACAACCCTCCCTTCCTATAAGATGTTCCCAGTATCTTTTGTAAGGTGTCTGGAAAGGCTGACCTCTCACGCTGAAATCCCTTCTCTCTCGAAGAGACATGTAGCTGTTTGCTTAGGAGGAGTAGACTCTCCTATCAGACTTCTCTAGGTGCCGCTCAGTCTTGGTGGGTCGCTTGGCCTGACCTTGTGGACAGGCTTCTGGTTACTGTCAGCCTCCACAATGTACTTACTACTTAGATATAGCTCAGGAGAGAAGGTATGTATCTGCAACTGCTAGGAGTTTGCCACACCTTCCCCGTTCATATATGGCCATGATGTTGTTTCTTGTTCTGTCCCTTAGCCTAGAAACTTGTTTTGGCTGATATGAAGTGCAACCAAAATTTCCTTGCGTTATTTCAGGAGAAACTAGACCTCCGCCAGCAGCTGAATGAGGCCAAGCAGCAGCTCCTGCAGCAAGCAGAGTATTGCACAGAAATGGGTGCAGCGGTGTGCACGTTGTTGTGGGGTGTATCTAGCAATGAGGAAGCTGTTAAAACCATTCTAGGAGGAGTAAGTATGGCAGGTGAATACTTATCAGTGGTAATGCTGTTAGGCCTTTTAAAAAAGGACCATGCTCTGTAACACACTTTAGTATAAGGATATATATCAGAAACTAATTGGACAGCAAAAATGTTTTTCTGACTTGTATATTCTTTGGGAACCATCCATTCTCATTTAAGAAGTGTTGGAACTATGAAGTGTTATGAAGCAGGCTGGGAATAAATGCAGTAATTAATTCTTACGTTACCAAACAAAGATTGAGTTTCCCACCACACACAGTTGAACTGGAAGCAAGGCTACAGCTAGCACAGTGTAAATATCTTTGCAAGCTAACAGAAGAAAAAAATAATTCTTGGGCACATGCAGCAGTTCCCATGCCTGTAGAGATCTCGGAGGAGCTATTTCTGTGGAAGGAAGACAGATCCATCAATTCTCAATTTCTTTAAATCTTTGTGCTGCCTTAATACTTGCATAACTTGGAAATTTAGAGAACCTCGCTGCTAGTGAATCTTACTAAATTTTCAGTGTTAAACGTGGACAGGTAACTTATTTGACAGCCAAACAAACCAACCAACACCAGTTAAAGACAATAATATTACGATTAACACAGTTTCATTGCCAAGTGCAGCTGACGGAATTAGGAGGGATCAGAGGAACAGGCCTGATAAAAATAGTCACAGCCAACATGAGAAGGAATTGTTGTATTTAATCTGAGTGAACTGATGACACAGTTTCTTCTGACTTGATTTTTCAGCAGTGTGGTGAACAGCTGAGTGAATAGGATTAGTTCATTATATTAAGTGGTAAACTAGTGTGTTTGTAAGAGGTTTTGCAGCTGGGCACACCAAAATACAATTATAACTTCATATTGGATATTAGAAAGCTGTACAGTGATACATTTTGGTGATAACTTCTGATGATTCAAGATCCAAGCAGCAGTAGTTACTAAGGGAAAAGAAGTCTGTAAAACCACTATATAAAGCAGTTAAAATTAAAAAAAAAAAGTCAGGTGGCTACTACAGAGCCACCACATAGCAACAAAGCCAGTATAAAATTACATTCTGTATTTTCAGAACAGTTTATAACTGTAAGAGTTGACAATATTTAGTGACTAGCTGTTGTTATTTGACTTGTGAAACAGTATTGAAATGGTCTGTTTCCCACAAATGAAATGCTAGCAGTGATGAAAATGACCGTATTTCTACAAGGCGAGAGTAAAATTAGTAGAAGCCTTGGTGAAAGCAGTCTTAAGTATCAAAATTAAGTAGAATTAGGTAAAAGCAAAACTAACTTGATGATTTGTATAAGGGTAAGAAGCTCAACTGTGAAGATGCAATACTTTTGTTTCTAGGTTTATTTGAAATGTGAAATACTTCTACTGCGGTCATTCTCAGCAATCGTTGGAGCCCATTGAACTGCTGTACTTCTGTGGAGGTCATAGCACATTTTTGGTTATTATTTTCTTGTGATGGTGCATGTAACACAGTAAGAAATGTGCCTGGGTTTGCAACAAGACTACTAGGAAAAACGTAAACAGATTATATAGCATTGCATCAACCAGAGATTACAACTGGCAATGAGTCAGGTTATTAAAAGATGATGGAGATTTGTCATACAAAGTTTTTGGTTTGGGTTATTTTTGGACAAGTTGTACAGCTTGTAGCATCTCCCTGAGAAGGTGCTACGAACTACAGAAATGTCAAGAGAACATCTTTGACGGTTGCTCATATTTAAGCATGTGGGGAGGGTGGCATCAATTCACAATCATTTCATGCCTTGGGGAACAATGCTCAAGTTTTTTCAGTCTCTGCACAGATACAGAAGTAGGTCTTTCATACAGTTCTATAATGCAGATTGACTGAAGTGATGTTTGGGACCAATATGCTGTTTGTGTCCATACGGGTTGGGAAAGTCAAAACTCAAGCAGCAAATTTGAACTGTAATACAAGTAGTTTTCAAGGCAGTGAAGATGGCTACTAGTTCCGCCCATGTGTAACTTTTCTAGAGACAACTTGAAGAAACATTCAGAGAAGCAGCATTAGAGAGAGTTTTCAAGGATGCCTACCTGCATGTGCCAAAAAAGAAGTAAGCTAATTCCCATGAGAATGTTTTAGATGTCTTCCAAAAAACTTGAACCAGATACCCACATGACAGAGCTCTCACAGGGAAACGCAAACAGAAGGTTTGATATCAGAACAACATCAAGGCTTGCTCCAACTTGAGAAATTTGGGACCCTACAAGGTGGTCTGCTACTGCAGTTACCTGCTGTAGTGACAGACGTTTTTATCTTTTAATGGCAGCATTTTTGCACGCTAACTGATGTTTTCATGCCGGAGTTACTCGGATAGCAAAGGGTTCACTGTACCATCTGAGCTCAAGTACCTTAACGGCTGCTCTCAGAACTGTCCTTATCTCAATGTCTGTGGGTGAGACATTCTTCAGTCCCATGAAAATGCTGTCAAGCTAATAAGAGACTGCCCAGAGTATGTAATGTTTGCTATTTATAAACCTAATTGGTCTCTGCAGCTCCTCAGACTTCACCGCTAGTTAAATGGCTATTTGGAAAGAAGCTTCAGTAGAGTGGACACCAGTGGCACCTCAGGAGACTGGCAAATAGATGATTTTGCTTGTTTTCTGTGGAAAATACTAACTAGTACTCTATTCCCATGTGAATATGTATTTTCATAATAGCTTATAGCTTCACTGCTCACGTTAAAGTTGCCATCTTTGAGGTGTGGTGTCCATGTAAGTATAAAAAGTACATCCAGCACATGCAGAAGTACACTTCTTTCTGTTCTCTTTCCCCACAATCCCTTTATTCCCGTTATCCTGGGACTATACTGAGTATTGGCTGACTGACCCTGTTTTTTATTGCTGGAATTCCCCACGGGAACTGTACATCTGTGATGTTGGTGGATGTGTAACAGTAGAGGAATAAATAAATGTTACCAGTAGCTTTGTATATATTGTGAAAGCTGTAGTTTTGACAAAATACTAAAATTTTCTGTCACTTTGTAAAATGAATAAAAGGTCAGGCATTTCTTGGGCTGTCCCATTGGGTCACTGCTGGGAATGACTAAAAGTTTCAGCTGCTTCATGAAACAACTGGCAAAATTATTAAAGACTGGGAAACCTGGCATTACAAGCTCTTTGCTATGCTGGTTTTGTTAGGAAAACCAGCATCCACTGTGTGAAATAGCGTTCCAGCAGTGTTTTACAGGTCAGAATTATTACTAAACAGAAAGAGTTCTCTCTGTCCTTCTTAGTGGGCTCTGTCTGCACCTCTGACCAGGCCCTTTGACCTGCCCTGAGCTTTGTACTGGGTGGCTGCTTCGTCAACCTAGATACCCCGAAATGGAGCATTATTCCAGCTGAGGGGAGAAGACTGTGTAGCATAATTAAGGGCTGTACGCCTGTTTGTACACTCTGGCGTGATGATCGTCTTTCTCACGTGACACTGCTGACTTAAATTCAGCCTGTGACCCAGGAGACACCTCTGTTTCCTTTTCTAAAGAACTTCCACCTAGCCTGTTGTTCTTCATCTTGTATTGAGTAATTAATGAATCCTGTTAGGATCCAATCAACATCTGCTTTTTTTTCTGGGTGTTTTGTTGGTTTTCTTAGGAAATTCATGTCTAGTCACTACATCAGGCTGCTCTCTAGCCTTCAGCTGGGTAGGGTTTTGACAAAAGCTGCTATAGTAGCCCAGGTATATGTGAAACACCTGGTGCAGCTATTGCAAAGCAAAGAGAGAATATCCTCACTTTTGAAAAATAAGCTTTAATTCCAGTGTTTGATACGTGTTATTGTGGGTTTAGGAGGTAAATACGCAACGGTTTAGTTTTGTAAATAAACGTGGCGTTGAGTAGTTTTCCATTTTCTTCTGAGGTAATGGTTTCAAATATTAGGGTATCAAACTTGTCACTTAGTGCATACCTGCTATTTTCTGTTGTTTTCTGAAGTAACTGGATGTTTTAGTAATTTTGAAGATTGTCCAGTTTTACTGTAACATCTAATAATCATAGTTGCTGTAGTGTGTATGATCTTTTTTTCTCCTCCACACTTGCAGAGTAAAGCAGTAAAGTTTTTCACAATCACTGCGCAGACCATGGAGAGCTTTGTGAAGTCACTGAGTGAAGACATGAAACAGCAGGATTTGGATTCTGATGAAAATCAGTTTGTATTAGCTTTGGCAGGGATTGTCACAAGTAAGTTAATGTTATCTCTCAGAATAGCATTCCACATGTACTGGAAATTTCTATATTGCCTTATATGAGCTGCGGTAAAACAGCTTTTCAAAGTGAAGTATTCAGTCAGTGTTGATAGCTTCGGTGTCTTCCTAGTCTTCTAAAGTTCTAGCAGATTTTTGCCGTTGACAGTCTGTGAGGCATTGTACTAACTGTGATAGTTAAGGATTAGATGGCTAAGAGCCATTGAGTTCTGAAATTCGCTAACACATCCATTCTATCTGGAGTTAAACAATGACCATTCCACTAGTCTTGTACTCTCACCTTAGTTTGTAAATGTCAAGCAGTTTACTTTCTGACTTGCCGATAATGCTAACATCTTCAAGATGTATGAATTGCAGATGATGCAAGTAGATCAGTCCCATATTAAGGTATGTGCTCAGCATTTTGAAACTGCTTATGAATTTTTTTGCTGCCAGATGGCCCCCACCTTCACTGTCCTGAGTGCATAGTGCTAAGAGAAGTAAAAGGTAATAAACCTGACTTCCATATTAAATGTTTCTCTTAGGGTCACAAAATAAGTAAAAAGCCACAGATCTTAGTATGGCTGCCCTTGGCTTGGAAGGCTGTGAGAAACGGGGTTGATACATCATCTGCATCTTTGTGAAACTGTGCAACTGTCAAAATGACACTAATGACATGATGCAAGATAGAACAAACAGTGGGTATTTATACAAATAAGTGAACCTTGCATTAACAACTTTTTTTAATGGTACCACGACACCTAAAATCACACATTCAAGATGGTAATAGAAGACAGTATGTGATGCATTATGCCACTGTACCACGGCGGGATCCAGTTCTCGCTAACTGCTTCACTGAAAACAAACAAACAAACAAAAAAAAGCATAGCAAAAATAAAGGCTGAACAAAGAAAATGTTTAAAGGCTGGCAGAGTGGTGGGGAGCGTTGGGGTTTTGCCTGAGGAGGAATCAGGATGGTGGAACGAAATCTTGCTTCACTGAAGCGGATATAAATTTTGCTAGAGAATTTGATATTACTAAGATTTGTCTCTGTAATTTGGGAATGGAGGTTGCTGAAATTCAAATATAATAAAGGATACAGTCAGATGAACAATGTAGAAGGTACCAGTTTAATCCTCCTAGTTGTGCTGTAAGTAGTATTACACTAGAAAGCAGTATTAAAAGAACACCAAGGAGGTGGTCATGAAGTGCCAAGTGTTCAGAAGTTAGAGAACACCAGAACAGAAGTTCTTGGTGCAGTCATAATGCAGCCCAGTGAGCGCAAACATTGCGATTACAGTCTTTAATTGTATGCTGTGTCCATAGTACCTCTGCTTACTCTGAGGTTAAAAGAAGGCATCGTGATGTACCTGAATAGGAGAGAGAACCTGAGGCTGCATGGAAGTGGAAGAACTGTATCATGCAGCAGATCCCCAAACTTGCCCTGAATGGGAGGCCAGGGAACCAGGTTCTGTTGCTAGTTACATACACCACGCTTCATGTGTTTGGAGGAGGCTTGGCCAGTTGCACAGTACAAAGAAGCTCTGGTTGCTGGAAGATACCTCTTGCACATAAGGATGCCCTAAAGTATGGGGCAAGTATAAGGAAAAGTACTAAAGGAAAGTCTGCTTTGGAGCAGTAGTCTTTGGAAATATTTTTGCCTTTTGGTTTGTGTATGAATAATGCAGTGCTTACAGAGAGGTAGGAAAAGAACTTGTGAGTAGATGTCCATGAGAGTTTTTGTTTGTGTAATGTGCCAGGTATATTGGATTGTGCGATTGTAAAACAATCTGCAATCTTGTTTCTTTAAAGTGGGACCTATAATGGTCAGTTTTGCTTCAGTCCCACATTATATGCGGATGAATCCAACCTTTTGTTTCATAATTCACTGTGTTACTGTTAGGATCCTGGCCACTCTGAATAAATATTTAATTACAAAAGTAGAGTTACGAAGGAGTTTGACCAGTATAATTTGCTACTTCAGTATTTGCTATGGAGATGAAGTTTATACAGATGTCATAGTTCATTCTTCACACCTGACATATCTTTTTAGTGGTCCTGATAATTAGCATAAACTTTTGTTTGAAATGTGATTTCTATGGTGATGTTTTGTGTTCTCTCACAGATGTGGCTGCGCTGGCATGTGGCCGTGAGTTCTTGGTTAGTTCAAGTCGTGAATTACTGGACACAATGATGCACCTCCTGGGAGACATGAAGCCAGGACTCTGTACCAAGTTTAAAGTGTATGATGACCTTTTGTTTTTTCCTTTCAAATTAAATGCATTATCTTGCAGTGTAGGTCATAGTGATGACTGTAGTTTTCCCATTCTCCCATTATGTCCTTTCCTGGAGAGAAAACACAATTTTTGAAAGTCTTTTCACAGTAGCATTCCTTGCGGATATACGAGGCTTGGCTACAAGTCTAGCTCCATCCAGGTTTTGTGTCTCTTCAGAAGTCCCTTAAGTACCATAATATTGTAGAGATAAGCAGGGATGCACTCTTCTACTTTAGGAGGGGCTCATGGGTTGAGGGTCAGATAAGGAAGGTGTGAGGTCCAGCTTTAAAACAGGATGTGGGAAATGTGGACTCATATTTATTCCCATCCAATATGAACACTGTAAAATGCTACATCTGCTTAGTGAAGAAAGTGAGTTATGTATCTGCTAAGAGCAGAAATTAAATTAGCTTATGCTACTTAGTAGCCAGAAGCACCATGCACTTATGTTTGTAAAAGGTAAGCCTATAAAGGGGCCTTGTGATACAGCATTGTTAAGAAAAGGCCATGTTACACAGTTCAGATGCTGGAAAAGTTTTACTTCCCAGCTGATGGAGAGATTAAATAATTGTCTTTACCTTTTTCTCAGAGCTGTTGCAAGCTGAGGATATATGGCCTTGACTAAGCAAATTACCATGGCTTAATGAGTACTTGCTCATCCACTAAGCTGTGGGCACTTGCCCTGTACACCTCGTTAATTTGTTCATGAAGATGGCTTAAGCCAGTGTGGTGTGGTTTTTGTAATAAATGGGACTCAAAACACACGTGTGTTTTGAGTCCAATTTGTTACAGAATTCATACCCAAGCCAGCTGTTGCAGCTCAGCTGACAAACAGCAACCCTGTCAGCCACAGTAACTTGACAGCATCCATGCACACATTTAGGCAGGTTGTATGTGACAGGCATGAAATCAGGCTCGGTCTTAACTTTGGATATGTTTTATCTTGCCTAACCTCAGCTATCAGAAGGGTAGATGTCAAGTATCTGCTGTCTGGGCTGCTTCCCACCCTCTCTGGAAGGAAGTGGTGCTGTCAGATGATGGGGCTCGCTCAGCCCGTGTTAGGGGGAATGAGTTGCCCCTGCAGGTGCTTTCCTTTCCCCATTGGTTAGTGAGGGGGAAGCTGTATACCCTGTGCTGCAGGTAGCGGTTAGATACTTTGATGTCAGCCATTAATGTGTTTCCCAAGTGCTGGGCTTGAAGTTCAGCACTTAAAACAGGGTAGTTTACTCTTCCAACAGTGGTTTGGTTTTGGGTTTTTTTTATGTAAAGCCCCAACTAAAAGGCTTGTATGGGAATCTCAACTTAAGACAGAAAAGGTAATCTGTGCCTTCATGTACATAACAAAAAAATTTTATGCAAGGAGGACCTATACGATTTCAAAATCTGTACAGAAAAAGAAAAACAAACCAACAAGAGAGGACTTTATTTTGAGAGGAGGAAAGAAGGGAAAGTGTTTCTAAACACACATACCCTGAATTTCAAGAAAATGTGTGTCTATGGGTCCAGGTAAATTATTTTTTATCATTTCAGATTGGATTAATGTAATTGGACAATGTAATTGGATTTGAGGGCCTTCCTTTTGAACCGATGTTTTGGTTGGTTTTTTAATTATATTTCCAAATCTTCCTGCTTTGCGGAAGAATTAAACATGGTGATATAAACTTGGCTGCCATACAGCAATACTGATAAAATATATGTAAAACAGTCCCATGAAGTGGGTAGTGATTCAACAAGGGCCAGCCTCTGAGGCTAACGAATTGAGTGAAGCTTAAAAAAGAGGTTGCACAAAGTATTTGCTACATGAGAAACATTAGGCATACGTAGCAATATCTTGAATTCAGTGTAGTGATAATGTGTTCTGGTGTTCTACAGAACCAACAATTTTTTTTCATACTCTGAACTTGCTGTTTGATAAAAAAATTGCTGTATTATGACATTGGAGCAAATACCAGAAAGGAGATTTTTTTTTAACGGCCTTGTTGTGGAATGAGAGATTCTAATTTGCTCAAATGTTTTAGTGCAAAGTATTTTCCCCGTGTTTGTCTTTCATGTCCGTGGTCAGGTCCCTTTCTGTCTACAAGCTCCCTACGTGTCTTGTCACTGTTCAGTTCTTAAAACCCATTACAAACAGTAGATCTCTTCCCTCTCCTTTTGCGGGATTTTACACTCTCCCAGCCCAGCGAAGAAGGGTTTTGGGGGTTGGCTTTGTTTGTTTTTAAATTGTTCTCTGCATGTAAGGTGGGTTTTCTTTTAGCTTGCTTGTAAATCTAATAATATTTTCATAAGCAGATGTGTCAGAAGAACTCCCTTTTCTCCGAACCATAAAATGAAAGACAACTGAGGGATAAGGATATGATAGTTAACATAAATTGTGGTGAAATTTCAAAGTTATTGGTAAACGGACTCTAGAGTCATCATAAATAATGTTTACACACACACTTACATACATATGCATACATACAGAAAGACATATTTTTAAAACTATGCCTCATGGATGAAAATGTCTGTACTTTATTTTGGAAATGCAATGTGTTTTTCTCAAAATGTCACCATAGTATTACATGGAAGCACATAATCAACTTGAAATTTAATCTTTTAAAGAAAAAAAATAGGCTTATTATTTTCAGGGATGTGCTTGTCCTTTGCTCAGTTTTGAGGTTTTACAATTCCTTTCAAGCTTTTATCTTCAGAAATATTTTTTTTTACTGTGTGACAGATCAGGGGAAACGGTGAGGTCTAATTCTACACACAGCAGCATCAAACGAAGTAGGCTGGTAGAGAGGAGTTCCGTTTCCTCTTCTAGTTCTAGCAATCCTGTGTTTTACTTGTACTGTATGAAAAATTTACAGGGAAAAGCTGTTGTTTATTCCAGCACTGCTACAATATCCGTTGTAGTCCATGAGTATGTAATAAATGTATCCAAGGCATCTACACGAGTGCTGGGACTGAAATATCATGGGTGTCTTTGCCGTTCTGAAACTGCAGTGGTGTGAAAGACTTCAGGTTTTCTTCTCATTGGTATAGGGTTTGTTCAACATTTGTAATTGTTAGGCAGTCAATGAACACTTACACATTTGTTCATAGCTATAATTAAATTGTTAGGAATATTCAACTTTGCTTACGTAGCAGTTGAAAGTAGCCAGTAAAAATATGTACTTTAGTACATATTAGTACATTTTATGTACTAATCTCGCGTATTAAGCAGGCAAGAAGGGGCTTTAGCTGTGCATTTAGTTCTAGATTTTAAAGAAAGCATTGACAGATACAGTCATATAGGATGTTAATTAAATTTGTCTTGCCTAATAGGAAGACTATGAAGTGCATAATTAAAAAGTCCTCCACATAAAAAAAAAACAAAACAAAACAAAAAAAAACCAAGAAAGTATTGTCTATCCAATAATTATGTGTCAGGTTTGCTTCAATAAGTACTTTTGCAATAATTGTTGCAAAAAATACTTACTAGAATACGCAAGTACTAGAGGCGAAGGTGGTATAAAGTGCCTGGAAATGTTTCTATGTTGTGCTCAGGTGAATGTGTTTAATTAGTAATAATATGCTACTACATTGGCTTGTGGGGTGGGTTACGTCTTCTTCTGACAGTCCAAAATCACAGCACTTCCTTGGATCACCACCACCAGTCCCTTTTGCCTGCACAAAGCAAACAAGCTAAATAAAAAATACAAACATAGCAGTATCTTTTTACGTCACTTTATTTCTAACTGCAAATGTCAAACAGATTAAGGATGAAAGACATTGTCAAGAAATGTTAACACTTTCCATTATAAGATACAGTTTTATTGATCATTTTCATTCTGTCTGATCACAGGTAATTATGGCTGTGCTCCTTTGTCAGGACTTGGGTTTCTGGAAGCCATGTAAGAGCTGCAGAGGCTGTATGAAAAGGAGGATACGGGCTTCACAAGCTGCAATTTCAGTTCCACAGCACCCCTCACTGCTTGTCAGTGCCCACTGATGCAGTAGATTTAATAATCTACTATTTCTTCTTCCTACGGCTTAAGAGCCTAAGCGATCAAACTCCTGGCAGTGCGGCACATAATATAAGTTATGCCTTTTATAACTCAGTTTAGCCTGCAGTGGGTTACTTGCTTTCCTGCTTTCTGAAGGCATGCAGGAGAGTGTCCAAAAGTCTGCTGGTGGCATAGTAGCTTAAGCCATGAGAACTTGTTTGAGAATAGGATGTGAGGTGTGAAGTCCATTCGGAATAACATCATTTCCCTTTTGTTTGGAAATGGTGGCAGTGCAGTGACAGGCAGGTTTATCACAGTCATGAGAGAGAGCAGTAGCCAATTTGGCCCCAGAACGGAGGAGAACATTCCAGCCCGTTCCTGTTCCTCTGTAATTGTTTTGTATGCAACCCGGCACCCAGCTGTGATGGGTATGATGATCACATGTTCCATTTCATGTTATAGGAGCCCTGCTCATTCATCTTCCCTTCTCATTGCCCAGAAGATTGGCTTGCATGTTGTCTTTGAAAAGAAGCAAAATAAAAAGTAATAGCATTCATCATAGCACATCATAAAGTGCACCAATGCCCTGTCCCCACAGCTACTCCACAGCTGTAGGGATGATCTGCATAAAAGGCAGGACAGGAGAATATTGCTAGAAGGGTGAGAGAATTTGTAAGGCAAAAAATGACTTCAGAGTATGTCTCTTTTTCTTTCTTTTTTTTTTTTTTTTTTTTCCAGGAACATCAGCAGCCTCTTAGCTTGAAGTTCATAGTACAGCAGTGATCTGATTTTGAAAGAGGCTGAGCATTAGTTTGTTTTGTTAATGTCAGTGGGGATTTTTTTTTCTGGATGCTTTCTGCTTTTGAGTACCGGGTCCCATTCCTACTGGAAGTGAGAGGGAAATTGAAATAATTTGCATTAAACCCACTGAGACTCTGCTTAGCCAAAAAGGAGGGTTTTATCTACCAAAACCACAAAAAACTTGCATCAGCAATGTGGAAGATGGCGTAACAACATCAACATTAAACGTTTGAAAGGAGAACTTAGTTCAGCAGAAACTGCAGGAGAAGATTTAATCCCAAGGAAATGCCTGCATTGAGTATTTGCAATTGTTCTGGATAGCTTTGGAAAGGAAGACTCGGTTTTGAGCCCCAAGTTACCCTACTTCTCTGACAGGTGAAGGCAGCTAAAAGTAAATTTTTCCCCAGGCACTTTATCTGCATAAAGAGGCAAAGCTGCCATTTCTGTATGCAGCTTCCTGTACCTTACAGCATCACCTCAGCTCTGTCGTGGCTAAGGCTGAGGGGGTGCCGGCAGCCAAAGCCCCTTTACCTGATGGGTTTCAGATTTTGCAAGTTACTGATCATACTGAAGCGTTTCACGTTTGCAGTAACTTCAGTGTGAGCCAGCCATGGGAGAAGCTGGTGGGATCAGCAGGTTAGAGCAGTCCTTTTAAAATGCAGAGTCTTCTCCAGCCTTACCTGGTTTTCTCTCTGTAGAAAAGTTGAGACTTCGGTTTAATTTGTAACCTGTGATACATGCAGCCCCAAAATGACTGATGAACTTCCTATTTCAGGAGGCTGATAAATTAGGAAATCCTGGGTTTGGAAGCTTTTTAAAATGTGGCTGAAATGAACATATACTTACTATGTGTATTTTTATTTTGTCATTTACACACTGATGTGCAAGGGACAGTCTTGGTTTCAGTTTGTCAGAGATGTCATTTTAGTTTTTTTTCAATGCTCAATTAAGGAAATGTTCTCTAGCTGCCAGGTCATAGATCATCTCTGTTACCTGGAGGACAGGATATGTGTTCTGGCCTCCTTCAACATCAATGACCATAATAAAAAAACCAAAACAAATCACTTTCTGGGGGGGAAGGGGAAAAAAAGGCTCTGAGTGGGCCCAAATGTTGTTTGCAAACAGTTTTGAAGAGATGTGGGTGAGAGCACTGTTTGGCCTCTGTTATCCTGGTGTTGATCTACACTAAGACAAGGGCACAGTTTACAGCCAAATTGATTTCCAGTGTTATTGACTTAAAAAAAAAAAAAAAATTCCACTTGTACATTGAACATAAGCAATCTGGATTCCTGAAGGCAGAGTAAATAGGAAAGTCCATGATGACATTTTAAGAGGCAAGTAGTTGATTTTTTTTCACAGTAGGGTCTCGCTGGATGGCCCAGATCGTATGGCACCGCTGGACTGTGAGGGGCTGGAGAGCAGGCAGAGCAAGCCAGTTCTCTGCCTTGCACCCACAGCAGAAGGGATGAGCCTAGATTAGGAGGGGGTGTGCTGAGCTGAGCTGGGACTACTAATATCTTCCTTTTCTCTCCTTCAGGCCTGTCCCCTTCTCCCAAGTGCTTCTGTAGATGTAGTAACTTACCCTGCCATGGGAGAGAGCCTACATTGGTGTGTGCTGTATGCTGGCTAGGTGTTGCATCTGTTCCCATTTGCAGGAGGAACAGGAGGGTATGTGAAAGAGGATGGCATAAGCAATGTGTCTGTGTTTCAGCTGACTGGAGTGCCAGTGTACAGAAAGGCCGGTGTTGCACAACCGATGGAGCAGGGGCTTCCTTTGACGTTTCTAGTACTCGGTATACAGTCTTGCTTTCTGTGTTTCCTAACAGCCCTTTCATTTGTGAAGGTGAACAGCTTATTTGAGATGATCATCTGCCCATTGGGGATCATCACCACTTAAGCTCTATTGTATAGGTTGTGTGGTCATGGAAAGCCAAGTTCTGTTTTTGCACATCTCACGTAATGAATCTCATGGAGTTTGATGAGACTTTTACTCTTGCGTGGGATTTTTTTTCCATGTGTTTGAAATACGTGATTTAACAGTAGAAACAAGGTTTTGCACAACGTTGTTTACATATAATTTGAGACTTGTCTCTTCTCAAAATATAAATTATTAGAATAGGCTTCTGCATCAGTACATGCTTGGCATAAATAGCAAAAGATGCTAAAACATGCAAAGAAATCAAAGGACATCACATCTTTTTTCTTTCAATTCTAGGCTAATGCTGATGTCACTTTACAATGTGAGTATCAACTTGAAAGGCTTGAAGTACATCAGTGAAAGTCCAGGTTTTACTCCTTTGCTTTGGTGGCTATTGAATGGTAAGTTGCTCTAAGAACTTTGTAAATTGTGACTTTGGGGATTGTAGATTGGCAATAGGTGTTGCAAATAACAAAACAGAAACTTATATCTGTAACCTGATTACGTATAGCTTTTGTCAGGTTAAAAGTAAACAAAAAGGGCAAATAGCTGGAGGGAGAAGATGTGCATTTCCCACAACGTTTTTGGTACTGTATATAATATTACATTAATATAAAATTTATGGAAGGTAGAATTAAAAATAGGGAATGGAGAAATTTGATGGAGTAAAAAAAGTCACCTGTATTTTCACATACCAATTTTAAAATAAACCCTGAGGGGAAAAATGTATCTATTCACTACCATTTAACAAAAGAAAAAGTAACCATATTCTGGCACATAAAAGCCACCCTTTCTACAGCTGAAGAGAGGCCTTATGCTGTAATAGGATTTGGGCTTGCAGGGCTTGAGTACTATTCCCAGCTTTGCCTTTGGCCGTGCAGGATTTCAAGGACATCAAGGACTTCTGTTGCCAGTGTCAGGTACATGAGTGACATCAAGGCTCTGCCCTTTCTGAAGCTTCAAATCCCTGCCTAGAAGCCAACAGATTGACGTTGCCAGCGTGCGTTGGGCTTGGCTGGCAGCTGTGTGCACGGCTCATAAGGGACAGCAGTAAGGACAGAGCCGTGCACTGTCCTGCCTATGAACTGCTCCTAGGGTTGCTCTGTCTTAGCTTTCTCAAGTGTTTGTGGCTTGTCCATGAGAAGATTTTGGTGTGCAGTTCAGAGAACCAGTGAGGTTAGTCATCCTGGCCCACTGTGCTGCTATGCAAAACCCTGCTAAAATACACAGCAGCTGAAGTGAGAGAGGTTGCATCTGCTTTTTCAAGGAATGAATTTGATGTTGAAGTTTTGGAAAAGCTTTGATTTGGGCTGGTGAACTGGAAGCTACTTGTATTGCTCACAGTTCCCTCAACTGTTTTCTAGAATATGTAGGTACTTGCGCTTTTCACCAAATAATTTCCTGCTTTGCAATGCCATAGGCTCTCTCATCTGAGGTCTTAGAAAATCAAGTAATCCTTGTGAGACTGCTGGAAAACACCAGTTTTACAGGTTTTTTTTAATACAGTTTGTGTCAGGACAAGGGGGAATGGTTTTAAACTAAAACAGGGTAGGTTTAGAATGGGTATAAGGAAGAAATTCTTTACAATGAGGGTGGTGAAACACTGGAACGGGTTGCCAAGAGAGGTAGTGGAGGCCCTGTCCCTGGAAGCATTCAAGACCAGGTTGGATGGGGCAACCTGATCTAGCTGGCGGTGTCCCTGCTCACTGCAGGGGGGTTGGACTAGATGACCTCTAGGGGTCCCTTCCAACCGAAAACATTCTATGATTCTATGATTGAGGAAAAACTGTATTCTCAGAGAACACCAAATACATGGTCCTTTGTTCTGCTGCGCTTAGAAATTTATCATATGTTAGTCCAGATTTTCATTTTAGTTCATGTTTGGCTAATATATACATAAGCTGTTCTTCTAGCAAAAGAAACCCCACAACCAAACAAAACACCCTCAAAACCCCTGTCTAACTTTGAGTTCCCAAATGTGCCCTTCTAAAAGCTGTGATAAAACAAAGAAGCTAATTGTTTGATGCAGTCTATTATTTGAAGAAGGCTCCTAGGTCACACAAGAGGATGAAATCTGGCACGGTTATAATTAATTTGTAGCTGCTAATGGAAAAAGAAATGGAAAGGCTATTCTGCATTTTGAAAGTGTTAATTGTGTATGGCTGGGTTGTAGGAGGACAGACAGCCATGGCTAATTCTTTCACTTTTTGATAATAAATTTCTCTAGTTACAGCAAAGGAGGAAAATTCTCCGAAAACCACATCTGCTGTTTCAGATTTCTGACTTTGGAGGAAGTCTGCTTACTGTCAAGGGAGAGGGCTGACTAGTTTGTATATCAGATGAAAGGTCAGATCCAAGACCTGATCTTGTTCCCATCATTTTGTGTGAGGTCTCTGTAGTTTTCTCTACATTTAGTCTATTTCTAAATGTTTCAACTTGCAAAACTCAATAGCTTCCTCCCACTCTTGCTCCTCTCCTGTTTCTGTGGCCAGCATCTTCAGCTTCTGGTAGCCGTGATTCAGCTTATTAACACCTGGAGCTGGTACAGCATAAGGCCTTAACAGTTTTTTCTACGCAAGAGAGTAGAGCAATACACTCTGCTGGCAGGGTATCCTGTGTACGCTGTCTTCCTGCAGGAAGCTTCTTCAAAGAGTGTTTTGATTAAGGCTTATGAGATGATTCAGCTTTCCACAGTTCTGTAAGCTTTTATCAGCATTCCCACTAAGAGAGGCCCCAGAAGTCATCCTCTGACTTTTTTTTTATTTTCAGAGAATCATCCTGTTTGCTTTTCCATCGTCAGTCTGCAAGTGTCTGTGACCTCAGCCTATACATCAAGGCCGTTTTTCTCCCACTGGCTTGTACACAGCTGATAAACCCCTCAAATTCCTTCTCTGAATTCTCAGTCTCTGCCCAGTCTTATTGTCCCCTGAAGAAGAATGTCCTTCCCATTAAGTGAAGAGAGCAAATAATTAACTTGATTATCCTTATTCCCTTTGTTGTATCTGAAGCAAAGAGGGGTTTGATTCAGGTTGTCTAGCAGGCTTTTTGAAGAGACAGAAATACGCCTTGACATTGAACACACAGATTGGAAGAGAAAGGAGGAAAAATCTAATAGATTCTTAAATCTTATTAGAAGAAAAATCTAAAAGATTTTTAGTGGAGTAAGAATGTTAACAGCAAATTGGGTTCATCTGTCCTACTGTCTTTGGAAAATTTGGATGAGCCAGTATGACTTCATATTCCCTAACAAGAATTCTTAATAGCTGTTTCTGCTGGAGGCTATACTGATAATAGGAGAAAAACAAATGTTTGACACACTTTTTGAAGGTAATGCAAATCTCTGTAGTTTTAGCACTTCATGAGGTGGACTATTTTTTCTTTTTTTTTTTTTTTCCCCCACCTTTTTAAACACTGTCTAAAAGGTGGGCACCCTTTAATAAGCAACACGGATCACTGAAGAATACAGTCTGATAGCTTACGTAGCTGTTGTATTCTCACATAGGTATCAGCTATGACTACCTATACCTTTCCAGCCTGGTGCCAGCATAAAACATGTGAAATAATGACTCAGATTTCTGTCCGTGGAGCAGCTTGTGGGATCGGTAGAGTTCTCTTCTTGTGGAGCACCATTTGTTTGCAGAGCAGCTGTTCCCATCTTGGAGAAAATAGGCAGGTTTAGTTTCCTCCATCAGCTGCTGTCCCTGTGTTGATGTCTTGGCTAAGGGTTTCGCGTAACTCTGTCCTCAGCAATAGAAAAAGAAGTTATATAATTTTGGGTAGAAATCCACCTGAGATTTGTCAATATTTTTTTCTGGTGCTTTACATCTATAAATGCAGTAAGACTTTCATTCTGTAATTCCCAAAGAGGTAGACTGGGACTTTTCTCTGCCAAGGATCTTTTGAAGAGTAAGAAGACGCAGTCAGCTCAGGTATTAATAATAAAGGCTAGATTTGTATTTTTCATTTTTGATCATACAGAACATCTACCAACAAGTGGATGCTGGAGAAAAAGAGTCTAGGCTCTTGTCTGGTTTTATTTGTTTTGGGGTTTTGTGTTTGGGTTTTTTTTTTTGTTACTATACTGTATCTTTATTTTGGTTTTCCCTACTTTTATTTTCTTTGAATGCAGTTAAAAGAATTGCTCTCCTTAGATACATGAGAAAGTGTGGAATTCAGAGAGACTATGTCAGTGACATTTCTCATCTATAGCTGGGAAATTGCTCCAGGTACTTCATTAAACAAAAGACCACAAGAGGAGTATGACTAATTTTAGATCTTGCCCTTCAGTTTCCTCCACTACAGTTCCACACGGAAATCTAACCTTGTTTATCCAAATTCTTTGCAAATGACGGTCTCTATTATAAATGCCTCTATGAAGCACATTCTCATTTTGCTAATGCTGCCTGCAACCTTCAATATTTGCTTTTCATGACTAACCCTGAAGGTTTCTAATGCCTTGCTTTTCTGTCTGAATTGGTTATGGCTGTGAGAGTTTTTGAAAATTCAGGTCATTTGCATGGCAGTATGTTACTTAAAAGACATCTGGACAAACAGAAAACCCCTATTTATAGACTGATGTCTGTATTAAAACAAATCTTTGTTCGTAAATCAAAACCGCAGTGACTGGTCTTTCAAGTGCTCAACAGTTTCATGCTTTTCCGACTACGAAACTAATCTTAAAAAGAGGATTGCCCTTCTTGTCCTTTAAGATCACAGCCAGGGAGGAGACTGAAGCAAATCCAGCTGTTACACAGGAGCTGGGGCAAATGTGTTGCAGAGAGAAAGTGGGTTTGTGTCCAAGGGAATTGCAGCAGCAAAGTTCGGTCTTTTTTCTGCCATGGTGTTCTCCCTGCTTGTTCCCCACATAGCGTCTTTATTGCAACACTGTTTGTCTCCTCAGACCTATCAGCGTGACGAAAATGTCCGGAAAACTCTCTCTGTTGCTGCAGATACTGGCTCAGCTCCGCCAGCATTGGCAATGTAAAGAGATCTTGCACAGGGCAAGCTGTGGCCCTAGTGCTCTGTGTTAGATGTGCTGTGAAAGTAGGTAGTCTGACAGGTTCATAAAAAGGGAAGGGGGAGTGGCAGGTCGCCCCTTCGTGCTAGAATCAGACAGTAAGTGAACTGAATGACGTTTACAACAGTGGTGGGAAGCCTTTGAAATACTGCTCTTGTAAATAGACATAGCTGTAAACAGCTTGCTGGTAATAAATCTTGCATTCAGGTGGCCAGGCAATGGTATGGGCACGTGTCAATTGAGTTCACACAACTCGGAGGCAATTGTAGATAAGCTATTTAGCATTGATGTAATGCAATTACTTAAACCCTGCTGTAGGGAACAGTTCATCTGAGAGCATGGTGCTAATGACAGATGTGACTAAAATCTGTCCACGTTATCAGTTGCTTTTGTCAGTGACTGAAAGCCAGTGACATCAAACGGTAGTGCTGGCAGCTAGCAGAACGTCAGCAAACTCCAGCAGTTTCAACACCTTGTTAAAATTGCATCAGCATTTTATGATGGTAGTAGGCTTATGCCACGCTTGTGATCCCCGACTGAGGGAAGCAGCTTGATTTCTCCCCTACTCCCCAGAAATAATGATTGCAGTTTTGAAATTTTAGTTGAAGAGATGTGTGTGCTAGTTGTTGGGAGGATATGATGCAGTGATTTGATTACAGCTAACGGATTTATTTTGATCTTGTACAAACAAAATGTTACTCAGCTAGTGTAGAAATGACTAAATCTGAAAGCTATTGAAATAAATATAATGCTGAATAATGAAGATTCCTTATATTTCTTCTGAGTATTCTTTAGATGGGGTTTTTAGAAAAAAACCCAACTTAATGATATTGGAGAGACAAGAGAGAGACTTCTACGGTATTTTTTTTAAATCCTCTTAGAAAACGTGATTATCCGTAATAAGTAGTATTCTCAAAACCGCATGTAATCCTAAGGGAGTATATTTTAAGGCATATGTATTTATGTAACTCGAAGCGTCTCAAAATACATGCAAAACAATGGCAATCAGAGGTTAAATGCGTATTAAGTCATCTTCTGGTGCAGGATCATTTCCTTCCTTTGCTGTATGCCCGAGTGCCTAATCTGTTCTTAATTTGAGTGACTCAAGCCACTGAGCTTCCCTGGCTGCTGCTGGAGATTCTTCCTAGAACCTCTTTGCTCTTACTGGAAAATGTTCTTGCTCGACAAGCTGGAAATCATTTCCTGATTTCCTACAGATCCTAATTTTGTTAGCTCCCCTGCTAACACTTCTCCCCTGATCAATTCTTTACTTTCTACAGCCTTTAAACACTTGCAGATAATAGTTACATAGATGCCTGTAACAGTATTAATAACAAAGCACTTTTTATCCAGGGATTTAAAGCATCTTACATTTATGAAGCTTCCCAGCAGTACTGCAAGCCATTACAAGTATTAATGGCTTTATTTCGTGGAGGAATAATGCCACATGTGGAAGATTGTAATGAACTACATAGATTTCACCCCCAAAAGCTTCTTTCTTCTTCCCTATTTGGACTATGGTTTGTTGCTGCTATTTCCTGTGAATAAACATAGGATAATACTAAGTACAGAGAGAGGGGGCAGGTGATATGTGCAGAGTTTGAGCATTATATCTGGCAAAAAAATAGGAATTAAAAAAAACCTCTGGCAGGCATGAAGACAAAAATGGAAGGAATGGGAGGATGAATTCAAGGCTTTTAATCATATTTTGATTAGGTCAGAATAAATCTGAAAACCAAAACTTGCACCCACGTTTTTTCAAAAGGATTCACTGAAGTGTGGCTGCCCAAGAAATTGGACATAAAGTCTTGTTGTCTGTGAGGCTGAGTTGCAGCATTTCTCCATGAGTTACGACTGCTCATCACTCAGAAAATTGCACCTGCAAGTACTGCTGGAGATGATAATGGAAAGAGACTCCTTAGAGCCTTCAGCCCAGGTGGCAGCAATAGGAGTAGCTGTGCTATGGGTCAGGCCACTTCTGCAGGGTGTACAGCACTTAATAATTGGGGTTTTTTAAAATGCTGATTTGAATGTCTAAAGTTGTCCAGTTTGCCCAATAGCTAAGAGTCTCATTGCACAGGAGATCAGAAAATGCATGTTGTTATTTGGTTTGGGACAATCCCCGTGTCCTCAGATTATACCCACTCTGCTAGTTTCCTGAGAGAAGTAGAATTCCTTTGTTAAGAGGTTTACGCTTTAAATAGGGAAGAAGATATGGTAGAAAAGACCTACATATCTCATTTATGATGGAAAACGGAGGAAGAGAGAGATAGCGACCAGCTTGTGCATGTAGATCAGATGTCACAACCTTTAATATTGTACTTCAGCAATGTGCTAGTGGGAATTACTTAAAAATTCCTGTCTCAAGTCAGTTTCATGCTGAAAGCCATAGTCATCTTCACTTGTCCATCGCCTTCTGCTTTCTCCCCTGGGTGCTTTCAACATTTCCCCTTATGCTTTGACGAATAATTCTCCTTAGTCCTTTTTCAGTTCACCGGTGTTAGGTATTAAATAAGCCAGGAAAGGAAAGAACTTGCCTCAGTCCACCAAATGCTTCCTTCAAACTCAGTGCAGTGTGGTTTATCACTGTGCTGCATTTATGCTCCTGCAGTGAGATTTTGGTCTCTGTGGTGATGTTGTGCGCAAAGTGATCTGAATTAATTTTTTTTAACGTTTCTGCACAAAGCTTTATCAAAAGCTTGCTGAAGACTAGGTATGCTAATGACAAACACATAAAAAATGCATGGCACGTGGAACAGATAACTTACTTCAGCCATAAAAATATATTCTACATTTTCACTTGGAATATGCAGAATAGGGAAGTGCAAAAATGGGGCTCTCTACCAGATGCTTTTGTTTATAAAGCTATAAACAACTAAATGCAAATGGATTGTTGTGAACGATTAAAATATAATGCTCCTAATGTTTCAGTAATTAAAAATGCATCCTGTGTTCTTAACAGTAGAATTATTATATGTCTTCCTAGCTTAAGTCAGTCAAAGGTCTTTGCTACATTTCTCTGACGCATTCCTAAGCAGCAGTGCTTAGCTTCAGTACCCATTTCAATTTTGTGTAGACTGAATTAAACACTTGGAAGGTTGATACATGGTTACCAGAAAGTTTTATGAAGATTAATATTTTATTGAGCTTTGAAGAAATCTGGAGGCTTGTATTAAAAATTAAAATGAATTAGAAATTAAAGAAAAGCCTGGTGATTTACTGCAGATTTGATTAGTTGGTCTGTTTGTTTTTTAAGTCTGAATAGTCATGGGATAGAGCTTGTTCTGCTCTTAAATTGGATTCCATCCAACAGTACATCTTGGCTACTGACTGGATAAATTCGAGTTGATAAATTCCCTGATTTACAGCATTTTCAATATTTGAAAAACAAGAGAGAGTTTCTTGCTTATTGCTCCCTCCCAAACACTGCTGAGCATAAGTTGCTGAGGAGGGCAAAGATGTTTTTAGGTTCCTTCTAGAGCCAGCCAGCCAGCACCAAAATGGCAGCTGTGAATTACAAAACTTCAGTTATTCCCCGTCTGCCTGGTGGGTCATGAGGAATGGCACTGTAGAGCCTTAATGCTACTTTTTTGGACTCACTTCTAATAAGCACTGGTTTTTTTCCTCCCCCACTTTTAGACCCGGATACAGAAGTTTGTCTTCATGCTCTGCGGCTTCTCCAGTCTGTGATCCTGGAGCCAGAAGTATTAGCCAAGTCAGCCTCTGAGATGCGTGACACTTTGCCATTTCAGCGTATCATTGCACTGTCAAAGAGCCGCAATGCAGATCTGCAAGCACTTGCAAAAGAACTACTTGAAGATCTTAAAATACTTGAGTATGAAGCATAGAAGAGCTCTATGACACCAACTGCTTACGTCTTTCCTATATTTTTGTGCTGCGAGAGTTGTTGGAGATGGGCTTGACTGAAAAAACCTCCGCTTAAGTTCCTCTGACAAAATCCTTTTTGGAAATTAGGTAACCCAACTAAAATAATACTGGGGAAAACGTGTTGGGTTTTAGCTGCCCAAATGTAATCTTAGGTGATCCAGTAGAGATGGGACAGGCTTAATTTCTTTGAGTAGGATTTTGTTGATAATGGGTTTCCCAAATGATCCAGGTTATGTTGTCTATTTACCGTATATAGGGAGTAAAGTAGTCATCTCACTCATTGATAACACATAGTTTATTGCAGTGGTAAATAATCCTTTTGGTCCATCCTTAAGAATTACTGTACTGTGAGGAAAACTTTGTTGCTTTTCTTAACTCTGCTGTGTCAGAATGCATCCCAAGTTCCAGTTTTACTGTTACTTCTCACCTCTCTTTTTCTATCCTAATAAAACTTGAATTCTGTAGCGTGTAATGGATTCTGCTTTCAAAATTTGCATTCAGATTCACTCTAACTGCAAGTCGACCCGGTCTGTGGCTGCCAGGCATACTAGAAACTGAGCCATTGTTTTTTCAAAAGCTCTGAAAAAAGGAAATGAGTTGTTGTTGTCTGTGCTATGTACCTAGCTGTGGGCTGAAGAGGCTAAAATGAACTGCTGCTCTGTCGTGAGCAGCACTGCATTCCCTCACAACTGTGCTGTTTGTTAGGGCTTCTGTGTACAGCTTGCTTACCTCAGTGGGAAATACAAACATTTGTATGCTTTGTAGTGGTAGAATTTATGCATTTTTTAGAAAAAAAAAAAAGTACCTGTTTCTGTGATGACAGACATACAGCCAGTTAGGTGCTGCTATTCAAGGGAATAGCAAATGAGAAATGCAATGCTGTGGTAGGGACCTTTTCCATACTAAAGTGACGGTACCTCAGCTGCAAACCCAATGTTTTAACAAAATACCATGTGAGCTTCTAATCCAAATGTATAGAAAAGATAAAGTAAACATCATAGAATTTAAATATTGTGATTGGCAGACAGGTTTAGAGGAAGACCATTGTAAAATGTGTAAGTTAAGGTACAGGTCATCTCCCGTTAGTCTGTTTGCAGAATGATGAATGTTCAGAGTTAGAAATGCAATAAATCAATTACTTGAAATCATTGGCTCAAATGCTACAAATGGTAGCAGTCTGATTTGGGACTGTCTAAAATGAAGATTAAGATACAGATCTTGCATGAAAAGGTTGCATGGGGTTTTGCCGTGTCTGATTCAACACTACATTGAACTTACTAAGTGCAGATTTTTGGAAGGCTTTAAATCTTCTTAAAAGCATGTTTTCTTTGGATTTGTTTTCTTACCTTGTTATCCTGGTTAAACCTCCTAGAGTTTAATCCTAAAGGGAACAAAATTATAATTGGTAATTTCCTGGAATATCAATGTATGAAAGTGTTCAATTTTAAGAAATACTGAAGGGCATCCACTTTACACTTTGTCTGGGTGTTTTCAATTAATGCTATAGTTTTAATTCTTTATTTGGGTTTATGGAAAAGAAAAAGACACCATTTGAAGGGAACTTGTTATCATGGGAAGCAAATTCGTAATACTTCTTGGTTTGGAAAAAAAAAAAGGGTCAGTGGAATCAAATCGTGCTGAAGTAAGGCAAGTGGATAGAAGCCTGACCCCTTAACATTTCAGTGTTTGAAATTTCATTCTTTCTCATACTTAAATCTTTAGTAAAGTAAGTTGGGCATTACTAGTTGCAGGTTGCATTATGAGCTGTTACATCTTTTTGCTGTTTTTCAGGTTCCCTTATTCACCAGTCCCACATTTGATGGAGTGAGGGACCAGCCCCCTCCTCCTGACCTAGGGCTGTGTTGCAGTTGTTGAACCTTTTTGCTGTGGGGCTGAAGCCTGCAGCTTTCCATACAGGCATCTGCTATACCCCGTGCAGACTGTTGGACATGCCATGGTGGGATTCTCCCAGACCTTGGCATCTATCATAAACTAATGAACTGTACTCTCCAATCAGCAGCATCAATGCCGCCTTTATTGTTTCTTTCTCCATGCTAAAATTGGTGGGACTCTCATGCCATCAGCTGCAGAGGAAGCTCCTTGTTGAGACAAGGTGCCAACTGTTTAGATGGCTAAAATGAGGTGAGATGGATCCTACCCTTTGGTGTCTATTTTGCAATAATAGATACAGAGCAAGTTTTCAGGTTACCCTACTGTTTGCAGAGGGTGTTTTAAAATCTCGTTTGTTGATAGGCTTGAGAAATCCCTGTTTGGAGGAGAAGAGTGTTTAAAGTCTTAATTCGCCTTCATGTGGCTAGTGCCAGAAATAGGGCTGTTAAGTAAATGTGGATCTCCTTTGCATCTCCCACTCCCCTGAAATGCATCTTTTTTGACAGCTTATGAATTAAAGAAAGTCTCTAAATAACAGGTGGTGCTCCAAAAACTTAGAGCATGTCAAAGCTTTATTTGCAAAATTGAACAATGGGGGATACACAGGACACAATATGACACTACAAGGTGCTGCTGCAGTTAAAGACTAGTTAACATATGCATTATAAATCTCTGGTTTTACTTTGCTGTGAAGTTTTGCTTCAGTCTGAAACCATGGGCCATTAGGAAGTTTTACTGGTTTAAAATGAAGAGTTCAGCGTATACTTTGGAAAACACCGGCTTTAGAATGTTGCTTTTTCTGGATCCTGTTGAAAAGTTTGGGATTCTGTGTAGTATTTGATCGACTGCATTACTAGCTTGCAGGAGAAAAGGCAGTTCACACAGTCAAAGCACAGGCTTCACTAGCCGTGTTCAAAGTTCGGAGCTACTCTGTTGTTGCCATTTCCTCTGTTGCACAATCTCAGAGCGTCAGTGAAGAAGAAAATGTGAGTTTGGTGTTGCTTTGAGATTGTCAGAGTTGCACCAGATTTATTCCCATATAACTGAAAGCAAAATCAAACTTTTATGCTAAGCCGTCTCAAAAGATGAAAAATCTGTTTTAAAAATCCTTAGAAGAAAGCATCTGTTTACTTCACGGTATCAGCTGCACAATTAAAATTGAACTTTACTCCTTTCAGTTTTATATACTGTGTACAGAGCTGCTGAAATGACGTCAGTTTGCTGACGCTCCTGGGAAATACTGGCTCGTCATGTTTGATGCTGATGGTCAATTAGATGCAAAGGAAAAATAAATGAGGATCCCCTAAACATATTTCCTGTAAATTAAGAAGTTCAGCGATGTGATGTACTGCCCCACCAGTTCTCTGTGTGGTATCTTAGGTTGATGTTTGGCCTGGACTATGAGCTGACTGAAAAGAAACTGGAGAACCTCAGCAGAAGAAAGTAAGGCCTAGTCTGAAGGCAGACCTTCACTGGTGGCTCTGTGCCCCGTGCTGAGTGGCCAGCATGGCGGCATGAGTGGCCTGGCATCTGTGAAGGGAGCTGTGAGATCTTGGATGAGAACAGCAACTGGTTCCTGGGGGCAGCTGGTGTTGGGTTGCATGCCAATGCTGGCCTGCTCCCAGGAACTCATGGCAAAGATGGGTTCAAGAGACATCATCCCGTAACAATTGTTTAAGGGAGGGAGGTAAGCAGGAGGAAGAATGGGCGAGGGTGGCGATTTGGTCATACGGCCATGGGTGAACTTTCAAACTTCAGCTGGTTGCACCAGTTGTTTAGCTACTCCTTTGGGTTAATATTTGTACTTGTAGCACGCGCTGATTAGCACAAATTGGACTTCAGAATTGATAAGATCTTACAAGTCTTGCAAACGTTGTATGATTCATCTCCTCTACTCCTTCCAGTCCTGCAAGGATGCTGAAGGTGAGGAGAAAGGAGTTTTACTGGGGAATAAGGAACCTTTGTTTCCTCTGTTATCCCTGCCCAATGCATTTGCTACAAGTTAAGGGATATGCAAAGCATGGCTGCCCCTCTCCTTCATAGTGTCTAATTTGCAGCTGCATCTGGCCATGTCTGCATGGATCTGAAGGTGATTTTCCTGGTTTGTATACAGGAACTTTTGCAACTGCTAGTTGCTTCTCATACATGTGAGTTACGAGTTACAGCTGATAAAAAGTCATCGGAAAACTCTTGAGGTCATACAGATTTTAACTTCTCCAATGCTTTATGATGACCTTTACAACCTATAACTTGCTTGGTCAGAAACATTAAAAAGACTTTGACCAAATTATAGTTCCGCATGTAATTTATAGGACTATAATTTTTACTGTGGGCGCGACTGCAGTTAAAGCACTTCTGATGCCAGGTGCTTGGTCTTTTTGAATGCATGTGTTTTTCATTTTCTGTGCTGTTGGGTGCAGTCATGAGTGGCAGCAATCACTGAGGGCAAGGCTGGTGTGGGCCTCGGCTGGGGAAGGGCAAGATGGTTTGTGACCTGCGTGGTTCTGCCAGGTGGATGGGGGAGGTCAGGTCTGACTGAGCTGCCTAAGTGGCTTTCATGCCACCTGGGTCTTGCCTTGAACTGAGGCAGGGGAATGGGCTGGATGTTAGGAAAGTGAGCGAGCTGTTTGAAGCTCTCTGCAGAGAGATAAATGCCTCCTTCCTTCTGTAGCTGTATCGCCACCGGGGTCAAATAAAGTGCAGCAGTCACCCTATATTAGCACAAAACAGAAAATGGAGAATGCAGAAAAAAAGCCCAGTTCTTGGGTCTGCGCCCCTTCCTCCTGAGCAGGATCTCTGGTCTCCAGAATCAATTTCAAGGGCACTTTGGCTTAGCCATGGCATGTGTGAAAGCTGATCGATGCAACCAGCCCCTCGCTGCTTGCCAGCAGGCTGCAGCTTTACCAGAGGACTTGCTCCTGTGTGTCCTGGCACATTTATAGTTGTCGCAGGGCTCGTTGGGGCCTTCGGTGCAGCACAAGGATGGCTCTTCTGGAGGGCTGCTGCCATTTTCTCAGCCTGTGGGTGTCCGGGAGCTGCTGGCGTGGGGAAAAGAGGGTGGTGGGCATTC